AAAGCCTTGCTCGGGGAAAATCGCTGGGGCGGGCCTTGGAGTTTTATAGTTCATGACACTTCCTGTTCACTGGACTGCAGGTGCAATATGAATGACTGGCCTATTCCTGCCGCCAGGCCTTCCTGACCGTAATGGTATATCTCCCACTAACTATACGCCAGAACAACTCCTTCCTTCTTTCACTTGCTTCTTGCCAGACATCTCGTCGTAACAGTAAGAGTAGTGGATACTACTGCAGTTTCACTTTGATAAAATGAAGGGCGAGGGCAAGTCCAGCCCCTCCATCATGTTCTCACCAGGTCCTTCACAAGAGCCGCCTAGCCGCATGCATGCAGCACAGGCCCACCTGTCACCTCTTCTGGGAAGACTCCTGAAGACATGGGAATCGAGGAAAAGAAGCATCCCTTCCTTGCTAACCTGGTTCTCCTGGCTTTGTATTGTCATCACCCTCCACCCACTGAGCTCCTCCTTGCTAGCAGGAGGCCAAGTCCAAGCCATTTTTACCCTACAGAATGGCTGGTACATGGGGGTGAGGGAACCACATACTTACTCCTTTCTTTTCCTTAAAAGAAGCCTTGATCCAAGGCAAAAATAAAGTGCAAGATGCTTATTTCACATTATTATATTTAAAAAAAAGAGCAACTCCAGAGCAGTCTCTTTTTAGGTCCTGATCCCAGAGGCCCCCTGAGAACGAACTCTGCTCTTTCCACGATCAGACTCCCTTCCTGTCTTTTAGAACCAGAGCGAAACGGGCTAGCAAGAGGCACTATTGTACCAGCTGATTTAAATTGAAGTGTTTTCCCCAGATAAATGCGTGCTAAATAATACACCAGCTCTCCAAGCCAAGGGAAGTGACAGGCACTCTGTAAATAAAGGCACTTAGTTGCTGGTAAAGAGCTGTAAAGTGGTTCTGAGCTGATGTTTGCTGACCAGCAAGAAGCAGCTTCACCTGCTTTATGTAATTGTCACTGCAGTTTTGCTTGCTGTATATTAAAACTGCATCTCATACACCCAAATGTCACATTGGATATACCATCCCACATGGAATGTGCCACCTTCCGCTGTAATTGTTTTTGACAGCCAGCCATCACATCTCCTCTCTTTCCAGAAAGTGTCTGGTGCAGAATCCCTACACTGGGTCAGTTCTGACACCATGTGGGCTAGAAAAAGTGACACTAAAGGGGAAGGGGAAGGGGAAGAGAAGCAAAGAATAACACGCCACGGCAAGTGCACAGACACAAATCCTCACCACAGAGGCCGGGCTTCCTCAGTGCTAATATGCCCTTTTCTTGTTCAGCTGCAGCACTTCAGAACAACTGCCCACACGGGCACTCTGCCACAAGGGCACAGCATTCTCCTCCGTCCACACGACTGAACCCAGCTGGGTTCTGGAGAAATAAAAACATGGCTCATGCATGGGTCAAGGCAGCTGTGGGGTTTTGTCCAGGACCACAGGACACATCACGATGAAATGGGCCTGGCAGGTCCTAGAAACCTCTTTGATTTCCACTCGGGGGACGTGAGATATATTTCCCAAAATGCAAAGAGCAACGCGATGCCTTTGTTGCCCGTAATTGCAGCTTCCCTTGGAGTGTGGACCTGTCAGATACCTGGGTGGAGAAGCAAGTATGAGGCCGCTGGGAATACGAGCTAGTCAAAGAGGTCTCAGAGACGGGAAACAGCAGGGACATTCAGCGCCCCTATCTAGTGCACGACTAAAAGGGACTCAAACAATTGGGTACAGGGTGAGCTCCAGAGGTGAGCAGTGGGGAAGAGACACTTCTTGCTGTTGGAACTGCCACTGGACCACTGTTATTGGGATATCAGAGTGATACCAGAGGATGATGCAGAGGCTAATAACGGGGTAGGAGATGACAAAGTGAGAAAGAAAAATGGAGTATTTTGGCTACCAAGTGATGTGGGATTCCCCTCTGTATGCTGTGAATATGATTGGTTAATTAATAAAGAAACTGCTTTGGACCTATAGCAGGGCAGAACCTAGGTAGGCAGGGAAAACTAAACTGAATGCTGGGAGAAAGGAGGGAGAGTCAGAGAGAAACCACGTAGCCTACCAGAGACAAACACTGGGAACTTTACCCAGTAAGCCACAGCCACATGGTGATACACAGATTAATGGAGATGGGTTAGATTAATATGTAAGAGTTAGCCAGTAAGAAGCTAGAACTGATGGGCCAAGCAGTAATTTAATATAGTTTCTGTGTGATTATTTCGGTTCTGGGCAGTGGGAACCAAGAAGCAGCTCTCTCCTTCTACAACCAAAAGTTTCCATATTGTGTCCTTAGGAGTAGAGCTGACTGCTGGTGTCCAGGAGACACCTGCTGAATTATACTGCTGGCCCGAGGTTAAGAGAAGTACTGCCTGCCAGGCATGCGCCTCATGCTCTGCCTTCCTCTGCTCTTGGTGTCCTTCTCATTTATTGGGGCCATGAGATGAATACTGCATGCTACCTGGTGGATATTGACAACAGAGAGCTCCTTCTGGCTATTCAGGATGCACAGACATCCGGATCAGGACTTCTGATTCGTATGGTGCCCTCTTCCTTAATCTCCCCAAGTAGTGGGAATGTTGGGTATTTCTAAGGTCTTTTTTTACACCAATCCCTTTCGAGAGCACTGTCTTCATGACCTAGCTACCTCCTCAAATTCTCACCTTTCCAGGCTTCCCTATCTCCGGTTAGCATTTGAATACACAAAACAGTTGAGAGTCCAGGATTCAGACTGCCTCAGCATGTGCACTTCCACACACAAAAGAAAGACATCCCTTCCTTCTTCTGAGAGAAAAAGGAATGTCTCTTCTCCCTGCCTGTCTCTTGCTAGAACTTATTCCCTTTGCTTAGTCCTGATTTCCTTAATATCAAGGCCGTTGAGCACAGGGGGAAGGGAGGATTTTGTGAGTTGGGACATTGTACAGAATTCGAGGAAGGATGAAGTTTAAAGGGAGCTGGATGGAATATCTTTACAACTACACACGGGTGCATTGTCATACATCTGCAGGAGGAAAGAAGGGCTCCCCTACCTTCTTCTGTTCTCACCGTCTCTACCCAAAGGGAGAACTGCTCCTTTCAAATCTTTCCAACTCCCTCGCTACTCCCTCCCAGGACAGGAGGCATGTCTGAACTAGCTGATCAGCATGTTCAGTGCCCTGCGTTTGTTAGTGTGAAGATGTCAATAGCTTTAGAGCAGCTTGTACCAGTCACCTGGGGAGCTCATTAGAATGTAGATCTGACAAGTAGTTTAAGATGTGCCACAAGAAGATGCCTCTCCAACAAGCTGCCCTAGGTGATGCTCACACCAGGGTGAAGGTGAGGAAGACCAATTAAAGAGCAGGGGCTTAAAGGCAGGTACCACATACCAGCTTGCTGAATTCACCCCCAGGAAGGAGAGTTTACTGTCTTTCCACATCCTTTCTTTCCAGTGTTCCCCAGGCAAACTGGGCAGAAAAGAAGTTCTATGTCCTGTGTGTGCAGCCTGACAGAACTTAGAGTCTGTCTCAGGGCCTTGGCATGTTGCTCTCTTGCATGGCTGTGCCAAGGTCTACATTTGAGAGTATCAGGCAGGATGGTAGAATGAAGAGGTCAAAATTAAGCCACAGGCAAGGCTGTGTCAGAAAAATGGAAGCAGGAAGTGACTCAGCTAGAACAAGAGACTGAGCCAACCTTTGAAGAGTTGCAGAAACCCAAGTCAAGGAGGCCCTGATTCCCCATTCCACAAAAAGAGCAAAGTGAGAGGCATTACACTTCCCAGGGGAATGCCTGCACCTCTTCTCCCAGAGCCCAGCAGCAAGGCCACTGACTCTCTGGACACTCTTGCAAGATTAGCTTTGAACATCACTGCTGCTCATGGCCCCAATGTAAAGTAGCATTAAGGCCTTTCCTTCCTTTTCACTTCCCCAGTCCCTCCTCAGCACCCTTCTTCAATGGCCAGCTTGCAGTGCAAGGAAGAGAACCTGCAAGTGGAGAGGTTTGCAGGTACTGTGTGGGTCTTGGTTTTATGGCCAATCTGGGCAGAAGCTAGAAGAGACTGGTAATGCTGGGCTGCTCAAAGATAGCAGAACACCAAGGTCTTAGCTCCACAATGCAGTCAAGCTTCCAGAAAGGCCTGCATGTGGAGGCCACCTACCGATAAGGAGCTTGCTGCCCTAGCAGCTGCAGTCCTCTCAGGCTTTGCTTCTTGGAATGACAGGAGTAGGGCTCCTGTTCAGCAGTCAACCATACCCATCCAGCAGGCCCTGCATGTCCTACACAGAGCTGTCATACAGAGGAAAATACTTCATCTCCTATCCTTCCTGATCCCAAGTCCCAGGGCCACTTATTATGGGGTTACTTGCTGCGCTGATTCCCTGAGACTACAAGAAGGCCTCTTTCCTTGAAACGACCTGTCCAAAATCCCAGAGTAAATGACAGGGAAGACTGGGGCCAAAAGAAAAGGCAGCTGTGTGTCATTCAAGACCTCTGTGCCTCCTCCAGTAAAATGCGCGGCCAACATGCGTCATTCCTTGCTACATGACTTCAAGTACCCTCCTCATCCCTATTCTTTAGAGATCTCTAACCTTAGGAGTCTTGGATGTGACCCTAACCATAGCAAAGATTACCACTCCCATTTCAGCTCCATGGAAAAGTACTCACAGGGAAGGGACCAAGAAGTATAAAGCTAGCATCATTAATTGCTCTGGCACTTAGGCAGTGACCCTGGTCATAAAGCCCCTTCTTTGCAAAGGCCAAGAGGGTGACTATTTAAAAACTCCTTTATTGCCTGAAAAGGTAAGAAACTGGAGGGAGGGAGACATACAACAGGGTTCAGGTCTACATCTCCAGATGGCAGGAAGAACAGATGCTCCTCTCTAAGCCATTGTGGCGACCACAGGTTTCACTGCCAGACAGGCTGATGTGAGCCTCTTTGAATTACTGAGTGAAGGATATCCCTCTTGCCAGCTCCTGTCCCCCATAGGCACAGCAGAGAAGTATTACAGGCTGTCCTTACCTTGGGAATTAGCCTGCAAGACCCCGATGCTGTCATCAAACTGCATAGATTTGATGTTGAGTGACGCCAAGATGCATTCCTTGTCCTGAAGCGAAGTATCATCAATATTATTCTGATTGGCTGACAGGATAACGCACATGTCACAGAGGTTGATGTTGACAGCCCTTAAATCAGCCCGACTTAATGGCGTACCCTTTGGCATGGGGGTGGTAGAGAGAGAGAGAGAGAGAGAGAGAGAGAGAGAGAGAGAGAGGGAGAGAGAGGGAGGGAGGGGATGGGAGGGAAAGAAGGAAAAAATAAAAACAAATTAAAGATTGAGCTGGAGCTTTGGGACATTATTTAACAAGTATCTTTTTTATGTCTTGACATTAAGCTGGCCTAACTACATTTCAGGGAATAAGGGTTGCACGCTAATCTAAAGGGTAGTCGGTGCTGATGGCAGCATTTCAGGCCAGCTCTCAATACTCAATCAAGCTATTACTAACAAACACGAGACGAATAATGCCAGGGTCTCCATCTTCCTCCTGCCTGGAAATTGTCTTGATTTAAGTAACTGTCCTGTGGCAACCTCTGCCTTTCAGAACATAACGAGGGGGTGGGTTTCAAATGCCTGTTTATTTAATAGCAGGTCACTTCTGTCTCTGGCAAAAGACAGCATATCCGATTAGAATTTCCAAAGCAGCCATGGGGAAATCAGCAAAACAGGGTGTGATGAGGTGGGCTCCTGGCTCTGTTCAGTCGGAAGGCTGCAGGAGCCAGTGAAATCACTGTGCATTTTGCAAAGCAAAGAGGGCAAGCTTAGGGCCGTAAAATTCTATTGCATATTTTTCAGTAATTAAAAGAAAAGCCAAGGAAACTACATAAATATTCGACAACATAAGATTTTGGACATACCTATACAGTCGACATGTGTGCTGCAAGGAGAGCCAGAGCTAGCCCTCTATATACCCACTGAGCTGGAATAATTTCCAAGATAAAGGAACAATAAGTGGTGGGAGGTGAGGATTGAGAACAATTTAAAAGTTTAATCCCATTTATTTGGAAAAAAAAAGCTGCTTGAAGCAAAAATTATATATTTATAAAAGTATGCAAATTCAGGGAAAACTCAGGAAAAACTATACACTAAACTAATAACAGTAATTACCTCTGGGAGAGGAAAGGATGAAGTGGAAAGTTTGCTTTTGACTTTATATACTTCTATATTGTTTGAATATTTTATAACAAGAACTGATTTGTATATTACTGGTGCAATTAAAAATAAATAAGCCCGTAAAAAGAGATTTAAAACACCCATGACAATGGGAGACAGCAGAAAATCCTCTGCAGGCGCAAGGTTAATGATGGAGAGCAATCACAGCTATGATAGGACCAGCACTCTTACACAGTGTCCTCCCAAGGACGTCCCAGTATAACTACCTGGATCATCCCGTTCCAGAGCACTCAGCAGCCATACAGCATCATTTTGGGGGTCCCATCAAGCCATCATCATAACTGATATTCTAGATTTATTTAAATTTTTCCTTAAAATGGGATATGGATACACCAGTTGCCTTTAACCTACAGCCTGTATTAGCCAAGTATTTGCCAGCTGCTGTATGCATCTCCTCTTGTTTCCATCAATAGATGGGCTTTGGGAAAGTAGGACCTGGATAATACTATGCAGCCCATCAACTCTTTATGACTCAGTGGATGTCAGGATTCCAGGGCTCCTAAATATTGCTACCAAGTGGAGCCACAGAGTAAGGGCAAATAGAGCCATAGGTGTAAAGAAGGTCCTGGTCCAGGTACTGGAGCAGTATCTCGGGAGAAGGAGAGAAAAACCATCTTCTATGATCTCTTGGCACAACATTAGGTGTGACCAACTTTCTGTATTACATTGCTATGTATAAACAGCAGCTGTCTATGTCCATATTCTCTTAATTTTCACCTTATAGGGAAGTCAGCATTAATTTTAATGTAAGGGAACCCGTGTCCAGTTGCAGACATAAGAGTTCAAACCACAAGAATACCAAGGACATCCACAGAAAGCTTTTGTGTTTCTATCGGTTGCCCTCATTTGAATGACACAGTTTAAACAATGAAGACACGGACCAGGCTTATAATGTACCAGTGCTTAAGTGTGCTAAATTTGGGCGAATTTGTAAAGGCTCTACAAATAGGAGACTCATCCCGACTTGCAGAGGAAGGTGAGTAAATGTGCATGGGGCACACAGAAAGTAACACACACATATGCACAAATACCAAAGGTCATACCACAAAACCCATCTATATACACATATACTCTTGCATCTAGCAAATTAGTTCACTTTTAACAGAGCTAACTTCAAAGGTCAAGGGATCACAAGAATTAACACATATAAGATGATAATCACAGAAAGTATAATCAAATTGACCATATTTCTGAATCTAGCAATGTACATGCAATATATGTGTATGTTCGTCCAGTGAGTGAATTGTAACAGGTAACGGTCTTCAACTACATACATACCTTAAAGCAGACATGTTTTGGTCCTGCATCCCAAGGAGATCTGCCTAATACTTCTTGCAGTTTTTGATGCATATGGGGGACTTGTGCCAAGCATTATGGGAGATACATGGCTACACTGGAGTGCTGACTGCAGACAGCTCCTTATAGATGCTTTAACACAATTTTGCTTAGCTCTTGTTGCTGCATTTCTGAGGCTCTGGAAGCTGATAAGCAGCAGAAAAACCTAAGAGGTTGCATATCCTTAAATACTATAAATTAAAATTAACAAAATAGTTGGAGGAGCCAGGCAGTGCTGGCACATGCCTTTAATCCAAGCACACAGGAGGCAGAGGCAGGCAGATTTCTGTAAATTCAAGGCCAGAACAGCCAGAGCTATATTGTGAGTCCTTGTCCCAAAAATCCAGAAAGGAAAAAAATTATTAGAGGATAGGTAATATTTTCCTGAATTTGTGACATAGACAACCACATAAAATTTTGAAAAGAGTAATATTCTGTAAGTCTATAATTTAGTGGAGAATATATTATAATTTGAAAGTGGCTAGTTATATGACTTTTAAATCATTTATCTCAAACCTGCACATTAAACTATGGAGCCCCAAATTGTCTTTTGTATATTGATGATCTTTTTAATAAAGATGGCATGATATATGTATGTATATATATATACATTATGTGTATATGCATATATGTTTGCAAATGTACACATATGCACACAAAATCATGGAAAACAAAGATTGGGCAGAGGTTGGTCCACAGAAGAGGTTTGGAATTTCATACAGTAGAGATAATTCTCCCCTTTATTTATTTGATCAATATCAGAAGGAAGATGGGACGGATCAGCATTTCTCTAAGAATGAACCCCGTCAAATTAAAATGCCAACAGGAATCTTATAAGTGAATTCTAGATATGTGTATCAAAACAGGGCAACACTTGAAATTTCACCTAGGAAAGAGGATTTAGACACTGGTATGGTTAATACATGTGGTGGTAGCTCAGTTTCACCCCTGACAAGAGGCTGCACTTGGCTGAAAATTCCTTTTAATAAGGCCTCCCAGGGTTCTGACTTTCTTGGCAGAGCACAGGAGGACTGCTGCATCCTCGGGCCTGAAACCACATGAAGGAGCAGAGGCAGGATCAAAGCTTCAGCAATTACAGCCACCTGGGATTCCCTTTTGTGAATGAAAAGATGAAGAGCAAAACATCAAATAGTGTGACCTTGACTTACAGGCAATATGGACACTTTGGGGAAGTTGTGCAGTGTTTCCCACTCTCGCTTGAGGTACTCGATGGAGCCCACAAACACAATGTGTTTGAGCTCATGGTAGTGAAAATTGCTAGCACGGAGCGGCATCACCAGGTTCCGGAGGCCAATCAGGGCTGAGCTGACATCCCCAAAGATACAGACTACAACATGGCCACTCAAGACAGTCATGGCAGCTTCACTTCGAGTCTGTAACAGAGGGAAGTGCAAGAGTATCAGAGAGGAGAGCTCACAACAGCGATATAAAAAGAAAAAGCAGCATTTGTGCGAAGGAGAACGTTAGTATTGGTTCTGCGCTTACTGTGTTCTATTGGTGTGATTTAAGTGTGCTCTGGGTGTCCCCAACAGGTCCATTGTTATCAAAGTCTTTGTCTCCAGGGTGGCATTACTATATGGCAAAAGGCCTGTGAATTGAAGCCACACCTTACTGGATGTAAGAGAGTTCTCATGTGTCCTCTTGAGTTCTCCAGAAATGACCAGTATGAAAAGAGCAAACCTGGACAAACCTATCTCATTTCTCTCTGGAGATATTTGCTTCTCCACCTTCCTGCTGTGATCATCTACCACCCACCAACCTTTGCAAAGACCAGGCAAATGATGCAGACTTTGAACCTCTTCAAAACTGTGAGCTACCTTTTCTCTTTACAAGTTGGCTGTCTCTGGTATTTTACCATACAACCACAAAGATATCCAACACAACTATTATTTGTACTGCAATAAAACAAATGTTTAATTTAGTTCACAATAATAGAAAATAAGTGATTCTTCAATATCAAATATAAAATTGCACAAGGTATCCATTCTAATGGACAAAAGTATACTGGGGGAGAAGGGGAGGAGGATAAAAAGATAAAACTCAGGTTGCCATGTGAGTCCTTTTATAATACCATTTTTTTAGAAAGTCAAATGCTGGTTTAAACCTCCATCTCCATCATGTTAAAGAGCATATAAATTTTTCTAATAATTTTAGTATATACAGTAAGTATTCATGCAGAGAAAGTGCCATTTTTCCTTCTTGATTCTATTTATTGTTAAAGAATATATAAAACAATAATGGCAAGGCTTATAAGACAGCTATTATTCCAATTTTGTCATTATATGCATGTTATAAATTCATCTCTAATTTGAGCAAGGGCATATACTATTTATCTCATAACTTCCTGTACACATATGCCCACACATTACCACCTTATTGAATAATAGATTTAAGAACTACGTGCCATGTAGACCTTTGAGCAGGAGAGTGTATATCAATCTTTAGGAAAACAAAGAGAAGAAAAGGGATGTTTATGTATGTGGAAAGGGAGGCCTTAATGTCCATGGCATGGTTGATAAAATGAGACGCTCTTTTAGAGCCTTTTGTGAAGATGATTAAACGGTCCTACTCACTGATTTGTCTCAGCCGAAATGCAGGGTTCTCTTTTGAGATGTTTCAGTGAGATGGCACAGTCCATCCCTGTATCAGTAGATAGCATGTGATATCTGAGGCCAGAGGCTAGCTGCTCTGACCTGTAGCCTCAATCTGATAATACCCCACAAGCTTCGAGACATCCACTGAGTGAAAACTAGCTTTTAAAATTCACAATGACCAAGAAGAAAAACAAAATTAGAAATACCATTATGGGTGACAATAACATGAAATTCACATCCCAATAAAGTTTTATTGGGACACGGTCAACTCATAATGTTTAGGTATTTTCCATGGCTACTTTCATGGAAAGTAAAATTGACAGTTGTGACAGAGATCATATAGCCTGTGAGACTTAAATCACTGAATATACTCCTCTACAGAAAAAGTAGGCGGGCAGTGATGATGCATGCCTTTAAACCCATCACTTGGGGGGTAGAGGCAGGCAGATCTCAGTGAGTTCAAGGCCAGTATGGTCTACAAAGAGACTTCCAGGACAGCCAGGGCTACACAGAAAAACCCTGTTAAAAAAAAATAAAAAAAAGGAGAGAGAGAGAGAGAGAGAGAGAGAGAGAGAGAGAGAGAGAGAGAGAGAGGAAAGGTACATTAACCCATGTTGAGACGTTGGGGTTTCCTGGATCATTCCTAGAAAGAATCACCTTATATAAACAACCACAAGTAGTCATTATAAGGGTCTAGAGTTCAATGAGTGAAGATAGAGGCCAATGTCTTTCCCCAGCACCAGTCCTGGGTCCACAGGGGTGATAAAGTAAGGAACACTTCTATGTAGGGGAGGGCCCCAAATATCCAGAAAATACAAATGGCTATCTGTCCATTGCTGGTCTATTGTTCACCATACAGATGAAAAGAATAATAGACTGAGGTCAGGATGGGGTGGTGCTCTGTTTCTCCTTCTAGTCAACACTTTCACCCCTCTGCCATCTTTTCTCGCTGCATGCTCATAAGGTCTATGAGGCTCACAATGCATTGGGGGAGGCATATTCATGCCCACTGCACATACCAACCTCTGTTTGATTTAATCCTTAGCATTGATCAAGGTATTGATTGCTTAAATGCCAATATTGCAATTCAAGACAATGTCAGGGTTATTACAGTAACCCCTGAGGAGAGGAGGAAGCTAGCTTTTATTCTCTGGTTATTAGAATAAAGCCGAAGCTATCATCATTGCCACTTTCCCAGAGTAGAAGGGAAACCTGAGACACAAGCTGTAAGAAATTTCTCATGAAAAGTGACTGAGGAGGCAGGGAGCTCCCAGCAACTCTTCCCACTTAGTGGGGAAGACAAGGAGTTAGTCAGTCAGGTTGCATGGAAGCCCTCTGGGGTTGTTATCACTGAAGCTCCTGAATATCTTCAATTGGCCTTGTCAGCTGCAAAGCTAGTTCTCAACAGGGAAGTGCAAATGGGGTGAAGAATAGAAGCTGGAAATCAAAAATGCAAAAAAGAGCTAGGCACCAGCTGGCAGAATGGTCTAGGCACAGAAGCTAGCCTTGAGACCTTAGGTAGGCCTGGGGCACTTACCAATTCTCTAGTCTGCCAGAGCTATACCCCCAGAGGGAGGTGTAAAGGACGAGTCTTGCACCTCAAACCTGAAGAGTCTGATTTGTCCACACTTAAGACCCAACAGAAAAAACAGGCATTTCTCCATGCACCCTCCTCCAATCCCTTCTGAGTAGGTTTACTTATATTTGATGGGACGTCCCTGGCTACTTTATTCCATGAATCTAAAGAATCTGAGTTCATCCCACTTAGCTCAGAAAGTTTGTTTCATGGTTCATTTTATATTTCCTTTCCAATCAGAGGACTGTCTCTTCTATATCCGAATTGCCCAAAGCCATTAGATCCCTGCACTCAGGATAAACGGCTTGTATTAGCATCTTCACACAAGGGCTGCATCCCATTCTTCTCATCCACACACTGGATGAAAATTCCATCTACTCATTACTACAGAGAGGGTTTCTTGGATCCTACTGATTAGTAGCACCTCTGGACTCTGTCCTTCCCAAGATTCTGCTTTATTTGCTTCACCAAGCCCTCGCTCATATCTAACTTGTTCTCATGGACTCACTCACCTCCCCACTGGCCTTCCCTCTGCTTCACTAGAATGAAAGTTCTGCACACCATCAGAACAAGAATGGTACCAAACACATGGTGTGTTTGCATCAATGCTTCTTCAAGTGATGCTGGGTTTTTTTAGATGAATTTGTCCTCCCTAAATTCTTTCCTTCTATAAGGGGATACTGATCACATGTCAATTAGCACACTTTCTGTAGATCATTCTGGACCCAGGTGAAGCACACAGCATATGATTAAGCCATAGGTGACCAACCACAAAGAATCTAAGTGGTTAGAACACTCTCCCCTTCTGGCAAATCAGCAGAGGCTGTTAGCTGAGCATTTGACTTCATGTACTGTAGTCTTCAGTTTTCACAACTCTGAGAACCTCCAGCGCAATGCTATATTGGCTCACAATGCTCTTTTACAATTCATTCGAAAACACACACATTAGTTAAAATACAGTGGAGGAAATCTAGTGGATTAGCACACAAAACAATTTTAAGCAACTGGAATAGTCCTTGCTAAGGAAGGGTGGTCCTAAAATTGAAAAATGATAGGATTTTCCTAGTTGAATATGGAGTAGGCCCACAGCTGTCTGGGGATTGGAGGTACAAGGGGAAAAGAGCCCCATCTGACTGGCCTTCCTGACTAGCAACCCATATTTCATGGATTAGCAAAACAATAAACTCTAGGAAAACCAATGTAGACATTAAAACCTAAAGTTATTAACAGGACAAACAAAAAAGAGTACAATGGATTTCTCTCTGTGCTAATGTTCCTGGGACAGAACAGAGAAGCCTGCTATTTCTAGAGATGTTTGCAAGCAATTCCTGAAGCAGTACTCTGAGATCTGTATGGTGGACCATGGTCTGGCAATGGCATCCTCAGCAAATGCACTTGCCTATCTGTATCATGTGCTAAGGACCGAAAACATGTTAGTTAAGAAACATTACTGTAGGTCTGGGAAGATGGTTTGGTTGATAAAGTTAATTGCCACATAAGCTTGAGAGTCTGAGTTTGATTACTGGTACCCACATTAAAAATCAAAAGCTGGAGACAGTTGAACCAAGCTCACGGAAACTTATGAACTCTAGACCAACTCTGTAGAGCCTCTGTGGGACTAAACTGGGCCCTCCGTATGTGGGAGATAGTCATGAAGCTCAGATTATCGAGGGGTCCCTGGCAGTAGGACCAGGATCTATCCCTGGTGCTTGAGCTAGCTTGTTAGAGCCCATTCCCTATAGTGGGATGCCAGGTTCAGCCTCAACAGAAGCAGGAAGGGGCCTAGCCCAGTCCCAACTTAATGTCCCAGACTTTGTTTACTCCTGATTGGAGTCCTTACCCATTGGGAGGAGTAGATGGGAGGGGGAACAAAAAAACTGAGTTAGAATGTAAAATAAAAGTTTAAAAAAATAAAATTATTTATTTATTTATTTATTTATTGGATTTTTTGAGACAGGGTTTCTCCGTAGCTTTTGGTTCCTGTCCTGGAACTAGCTCTTGTAGACCAGGCTGGCCTCGAACTCAGAGATCCGCCTGCCTCTGCCTCACAAGTGCTGGGATTAAAGGCGTGCGCCAAGACCGCCCGGCAAAAGTAAAATAATTTAAAAGAAAAACCTGGATGTAGTGGAGCATGCTCAAAATTCTAGTGCAAGGGAGGTGGAGGCAGGATGCCCAGAGAACCACTGGCCCTCCAGTCAAGCTGAATCGCTGAGCTCCAGGTCCAGGGAGAGAGAAAGTAGAGAATGGTTGAGAAATGTACCTGATATTGGTCTCTGGAACATGTGTGTGCACATGTGCAACCACACACACACCAAGAGCACGCATGAATATACATATACCAAAAGAATCCAAAACTTTCTTATAACAGAAAATAATGCAGTTAATATTACCAGAATAATCACGACACTAGCAAGAGGGAAGAAAGACAGTGCCTCTGTGGACTTTCACAGTCATGAAGCTAGAGCAGTTCCCATCCTTCTCCTCGCATGTAATGTGATTAATGCACTGTCCGACAACCGGCCCAAGGCCATGCAACTACCAGATGGCGAGCACGCATCCCACCTCCCGTGAGACCTTGTGACAGGACATAACCACTACTATTGTCCTGATGAAAATGTAGAGACTGAAATGTCTGCTCTTGAGAGAAAAATTAATAAAATTCTCCTCTAAGCTTAAGTTCTGATTCGAGATCTAGTCACCTCTATCTTTGCTCAGAATTTTAGTTATCAAAGATAGCTAGTACAAGTTACAGTGGACTCTGCTACTCAGTCAGGAAATCTACTCTGAGCAAAAGTCATCAAGCCAGGCAAAGGGGAAGGACACCCAGTCCACATCCCCTTACTCACCAGGATGACTTTCTCGATCTCCTTGGGTGCACACCAGTGAAACATCCCGGTGGAGTCGTACTTTTTCACATTGGAGTCCATGTTGTCAATCTGATCATTGCCAGGGATTAACAAGGGGTCATGCCTGGGGAGAAAAGGCAGGAAAACCTAAGTGGAAAATGCGATAAATAATAAATGCAAAGGGTCCCTGGGTTACATCTCGGAGGAGATGACAGATGCCGAGAAAGTGACTGTCACCAATGGCCATCTTCCTTCTCTCCTGCAGAGCATGTTTCCTGAAAGGCAGCTGCCCAGACCACACACTCCTATGGATGGCACTTGACTATGTCAGGTAGTAATTCTGCCTTTCTCCTGCCTATTTTGTAAATGCGCTTCATGCCACTTTGTGGGCTTAGCTTCACTTTTTATGATTATCTCATTCCTTGTTGTCTCGTTTTACTAGCTATCCACTTTCCCCAGCACACACACACATGCACACACGCACACACACACTCACACACTCACACCCCAAAGAGTTGCTATTAGCATTGGCAATGAAGAGGAAGGAATAGGAATAGAGCATCGCGCTGGCTGACTGGCATCAGGATGGAAAGCCAATTACTCGCTCTTTCTGACTACAACTTCTGACACGATGCTCTTCGCAGTAAAAGCTTTAACAGGCTGCACTTTAAATATTTTAGCAATTTGCCCAATCAGATTTCGCTCTCCCCAGCTGAAGGCCTTTAAAGATTCAACAGCGTGTCACTTCAGAGCAGATTGACTACCAAATGTCCACATCTGGAATACATGATTTCAATACTAAACAACACCCTCTCTCCTTGCCTTGACAACTGTATTTGTGCTTAACTGTCCAATGACAGGGCTCTGCATCCCCACCTTCAATTCCCAATGTAACATTCCTTGGATGAGAGCCTCAAGCTCTGATGCATCTTAATAAACTCGTTTCATACTCTCAAGACTACATCCACTCCTTCTGGAAGAATGGCTGTATAGAGGCTGCCCCTCCAGTGAATTGGCAGGGTCTAACTGACAACCTTAGGAATCACAATGAAATCAGGCAGCTCTACCATGCACACAGTATAGTAAACAAGCCCTCCAGCTCAGGCTATAGTCATCATCTGTGGCTCTATTTTTGATATGGTCAGCCACTGAGCGTGTGGGAAGCTCTTGTTGGCATCTGCAACAACAAACCACATAAAATTAAGATATTATCCTAGGAAGATCTATCCTGCAACGAAATTATCCTTAAGCAAACTTCAACCGAACACAGAAACAGATTCAAATTTCAAAATGGTATAGTGACATGATGCTACCTTTAAAATGATCTATTTCAAACATTAAAGAATAGTATTTATTTAAGCTTTTATATTTCTTTCCAAGACATGCCTCGTGTTTCTCATCTCTGTGCTCTGACCATAGAGGTTAGAGCAGCAATCGCTCTAATCTTGTTTAATGACAAATTTAAGCCTTTGGATCTCTAGCATGGCCTGTCTAGTATGCCTTCCACACACAAAGATAGAAACTCGGTGTGTGTTTTCATTCTCGGCGATTTGCTTTAAGGCCACAGCAAATGACAAATACCATGTGATGAGATCCTGTGGAGTCATCTTCAAGGAGCATGCTAGATGACTGCAGGAACTGTCACATCTGATCTTTAAAGGAACAGAACAACCCAATTCGGAGTAGCATCTCAGTGGCCCAGTTGCTGAGAGGTCTTCAGGGGCCATAGAGTACCAGGACACCTCTCACATACAAAGCTGTGTCCAAAAGTGCTAAAATAAGGGTCAGTAAGATTGATCATTGGTAAAGGTGCTGGCTGTATAAGTCTTGACACTTGAGTGTGATCCCTGGAAGCCGTGTAAGGTGTATAGAGGGAAACGACTCCATGCGGTTGTCCTCTGACTGCCACACACACTGGCGTTTGTGTTTCCACACCCACACACCATGAATACACCCATGCCCACCCCCCCCCATACATACAAAGTAAATAAAATTAAAAAACATAAATGCTAAAAAGAGGCAACTATTGATTCAAAAACTGATTTGAATGGGTCACAGAACATGATGAAAGCATCATTTGATGGTCTGGAGACAAAGAGGTGGTGGTTAGTGGGTAAAGAGCTTGCTGTACAAGCATAAGGACCTAGCTTCAGAGTCCTGGCACCTATAGAACTGTGGCTCATGACTGCTTCCCCAGAAATGAAGGGAGAAGACAAAAGGATCCAGAGAGCTAACAGGCCAGCCAGCACAGCCTAGTTGGTGAGATTTCTGGAGAGACCTGTATCAAAGACAAAAGTGGACAGCAATAAAGGCAGACATATGGCCTCAAGCTCTACCCGCCACATGCATGCACAGGGGTAACCACCCCCAACATTTGCATACACATTCACACAAAACACACACACACACACACACACACACACACACTTTAGTACATGAGGGGCTTTCTTATTCACCTTTGAGAAATCTTGAATAGTTCCATAGATATCCAGCATCTGTCATTGGCGGGTGGACAAAAGCTACCATAAAGAAGAGGGTTGAGAAAGTAGTCTTTTTTTAACCCTTGAAGAACTTGTTTTGGGTTGCAAGAGAATCTTAAACCTGCACTGAAGATGGAGTCAAGTTCATATTCTTTTGTCCTTATTGTTGGTGGGAAAGAGGGTATTATCTTAGATTTCAAATGCCTGGGACCCACTTCTAGTGCATTTAGGTCTTAAAAGATAGCCAGTACCATATTCACATATTCCCAGGTAAGCTGTAGATATAATAGGGAGGCAAAAATTCATTGAAAAAAAAAATGCCCTGGGAGAGAGGTTGATGTGTTTTGGCTTGGAACAATAGGTTCATTCTTGAAGGTGTATCTGGGTAAGAATGGCCTGTAACCATGGTAGAAAGGAGAAAAATGGATGGACAACTGCCCATCACTGAAAGAAAAAAATGTGACAATGAAAGTTAATTATAAACTAACTAAGGATGGACTTTAGGGAAAGCAGCTAGGGTTTCAAGCCATGATTTGTGCTCTAACATGCAGAATCATGTAGCAAGTCTCTGGGGAGCGTCACATAGACTCTGTCCTTACATAGATCTCTGAGTCTGGCCTAGATCTCACCAAGGATGTCCCTCAAAGGGTCTGATCTGAGAAACATGAACATGAACACACATACACACACACACGAAAGAAAAAAAAATAAAGAAAGAAAAGAAGAGAAAAGTCATCTCCCTGAATGCAGATATTTACTTTGGAGAACAGACAAGGCACCTGAAGTTCCAACTTTGGTCTCTTTAATCAGTAAAATTATCAATAAGCATGAGATCCCTATTCTAAGCCAGCAAAGGAGGATGTAACAATGTCAAAGGAAGGTTCACATGTAGCAGGGAGAAAACATAGGTCAAAGGTCATGGTACACTAGGGTGTGTGCTATAGTAAATTAGCATGCAAGACAATGTGGCTATGAAGGCTTTAAGAAACAACCTGTTTGTTCCACATTGGTTAGTATCAGGGAAGTTAGGAGGGGGAACAACAAAGCAACAGTTGACCCCTAAGACAAGGGTCATAGGAATATCTGACAAGCTGTGAAAAGTGAGTTAGTGTTGCTCCACCAGCAGCCATCAGGATCCACTCAAAGAAATGAGGTCTATGCAGCCACAAAATGGTAACCAAAAGTGGCAGTTGGACACGTCTGATTTTCTGCTGCTTAACGGAAGCCACAGAAGCCTGAGAGACATGGTAGGAAATGTTCTTAGACGAGCACTGGCAGTCAACAGAGGGATGAGCCAACTGACCCAAAGAACAGACTGACTCATGACATCAGGAAGACCCAGCAGCATGCTTCCAAAAAGGAAAAAATGTTACATAAAATAGAATATTGAAAATGAGGTTTTTTTTGCAAGGTACAAGAGCTAGGGCTCTTAGGGGTGACTTAAAAATGCTGGGGAGCCTAGAAGACCTTCATGTTTGAAGCAGTAGGTTCTCTTTGGGGAGAGATTGGACCACTGCTGAGCTGAGAGAGGCTAGCAGGCAGTGGATAGGTAAAGAAAGGTTTTGGAGAGTGGGGTCAGTAGCCCTGAAGACTGATTGATGGATTTGCAGTCCCATTGAAGGCTATGGTTCCTGGATTCTGCTGTGAGGTGGGGGGTGGGAGGGGTGGTGGTGGTGGTACTGGAGTGTGATTCATCCCAGTGGCATGAGAATATAGGATTATTCTGGGCCAGACAGGACGGGTTTCTTTACCATGTGGGTCCCTCTAGCAATTTCAAGTGTCTGTCTTTCAATGGTGGGTGTCTTCAGGGTCAGGGATTCTACAAATGTTCTTCTGGAAGACAGCCTGTGTTTATGCCATTAAGCATACCAGCCAACACTGTGGTCCAGGTAGATCAGGAGGAACCAGGCAGGTTGCTACACATGTGAAAGGAGGTTCATGGGAAGCCTCTCTGAGCAAGGCATTCCAGCATCTTCAGCTTGCAGGATAATGATCACGGGTACTTGTAAAGACCTTCAATAAATTCAATAAGCTCCGATACCTAGTGAAGCTGATGACCAACACTAAATACTAGCCCCTTTCATGGAATGAAATTTCCAACCTACACAGCAATTCACAACTCTTCTAGAAAGCTCTTTAATTAATACAAGGCACATTTGTCACTTAAGACGTGCCAGAGCCTTTGTCTTATTTTAAAGGGACAGAAAGTGGAAGTGAGCTGCAGCTGCAAGCTCACTGCTGTGCACAGGTGTGCCATTTGTATGTTAAGATCTTCACCCTCAGTACCCCAGAATATGACCAGATTTTGAGTTATGCTATTTATAAAAGTAAGAAAGATCACTGGGATGGGTCATCACTTGATTTTTTTTTTAATATACCAAGAGTGAAATTTTAGACTCAGACATCGACAGAACAAAAGCCACAATAAAGTATTGGAGAAGGAGAGAGATCAGCAGATTGTGAAGAGAGGCTAAATCAGTTCCTTCTCCAGGAACTCAAAAAGAAGCAATCCTTGTGAAGGCTTGACCTTGAACTTTTAGCCACTAGAACTTTGAGAAAGAAACTTTCTGCCCCTAATTACTCGACTCTACTTGAGTAGTAATGTTTATTGAACTTTAACCTGCATTGGGGTACATTACAAATG